ACCACTGGTAACATTCAAGAACAGGAAAGCCAGATTAGACTTTGCCAGAAAACATCTAAAAAAGCCTCCCATGTTCTGGAATAAGATTCTTTGGACTGATGAAACCAAGATTAACTTGTACCAGAATGATGGGAAGAGAAAAGTATGGTGAAAGAAAGGAACAGCTCATGATTCAAAGTATACCACATCATGTGTCAAATATGGTGGAGGAAGTGTTATGGCATGGGCATGTATGGCTGCCAATGGAACGGACTCACTGGTGTTTATTGATGATGCGACTGCTGACAGAAGTAGCAAGATGAATTCTGAGGTGTATAGGGCTATACTTTCTGCTCACATTCAGCCAAATGCTACAAAACTGATAGGACGCTGCTTCACAGTGCAGGTGGCTAATGACCCTAAACATACCTCAAGACATACAAAGCACCTCAAGACTTTTTGAAGGCAAAGAAATGGAATATTCTTCACTGGCCAAGTCAGTCGCCTGATCTCAATCCAATAGAGCATGCTTTTCACTTACTGAAGACAAGACTGAAGGCAGAAAGACCCACAAACAAGCAAAGGATTGCAAAGGATTTTCATCCAAGTATTAAAAATATGGTTATATTTACAATTATGTCACTTTGTCCAAATACCTTTGAGTCCCTGAAAATGGATGTACTTTGCTGAAAATGGCTGTAATTCCTAATTGGTAAATGCCATATTTTTGTGGAACCACTTAAAATAAAGCTGAAAGTCTACACTTCGATTTCTTCGATTTCGAAGTCTACACTTTATTTCAAATCCATTGTGGTGGTGTATAAAGGCAAAATCACAAAAACTCTGTCAAATACTTCCGGACCTGTCTGTACATATATATATATATATATATATATATATATATATATATATATATATATATATATATATATATATATATATATATATATATATATATATATGTAATGTATGGCTTTTAGAACTCTAATTGATTTTTACAGTTCAGTTCTGAACCTCGGATGTTAAATCGACACCCAGACACCCTCTCTCTCTCCTGCAAAAAATGTCAAGGTTAATGATATTGAGCAACACAAACACACACACACACACACACACACACATAGAGAAAGAGAGAGAGAGAGAGAGTTTACCTCTATAGATGTAGAATAACATTGATTCTTTGAGTGTTCAATTATGGCCGCTTGTCTAGATGCACCTGTCCAGATTTAAAAAGGTTAAATCTACTTTGGGAAGATTTGAAAAAGTTTTAGGGCATGAAAAGATTCAGTATTGGGTATTGGCAAATTTTATTATTCTTTCAAGACAGAGCAGAAACCCGACCTTCTCCCAAGCCTCCTCTCATATGATATATAAATGAGTCTGCCTACATATTAAGTTAAAAACCTTCTGAGCATCAGCAAACAGTATGGCTCATGAATTCAGAACAAATTTGTACAAGTCGGTCAGTCCACCATGGATAATGATGTGACCAGTTTGGGTTTTGAAGTTGGCAAAAACATTGGCGAATCCCTAGGAAAAAGAAATCTGACCTATCTGTCAACGAATTATGAAACTGATGGGTGCATAACCAACACTGTGCTAGCCAGGTTCATCCTTGCAGTGACAGGATAACTATTGGACTGCATGAGTAATAACCCGAGTCAACTCCAACACACGTGTTTGATTGAACCTGACATGTGCTATCTGCAGATGAATGCCTACACATCAGTGCAAAGGCTGTTTAAACCGTGGTCAAAATACAATTTGGCTAGAGGGCTGAAATTGTGCGGTATCAAACACACTCCATCCCTGGTTAAAAATTCAAGGTATCGCCGAATCCGTCCTCTGCGACTGCCGAGATGAGCCTCATGTCAAAACTGTTCTGAACGAGGTCAAAGAGAAACCAAAAGAAATTAGCATAGACCAGGTGTATGAAGACTTTGTGGACTATTGGACTTTCACTCCTCTCCGGAAGCCCCTGACCAGCCACATACATGGGAAACTTCAAAACATGCTATTCTGACTGCGAGAAAGGCCTGAGTACTGAGTTCACCTCTGCGCTCCAAAAGAATTGTTGAACCAAAGTATTTTTGCTAATCGTCTTCCTGTTGATATTGACGCTTTTCATCGACTAGAAATGTTTACGAACAAGGTAGGCGCTGTGGCCTAACCACTAGTCCTCCAGAGACCCTTGTCGATTCTCAATAATGCCTGTATATACATAAATTGTGTAAAAGCCTGCATGAATATCAGCAGGATTAGGCGCTTCTGGTTCCTGGC